AGCATCTGTCCTTGCGGTGACATGGAAATAGGAGCTAGGAATGCACCTCCTGACTTTGTCAGGAGCTTTCAGCACAAGCAATAGAGAAATCCCAATTGCTGGGCTCTGGTTCCTGAGGCTGCCAAAAGTGGATGGTATTGGTCCTCAGCAATGAAAAATGGGGAAGAAACTACAGAGTCAGAGTAAGGCTACAAAAAAAACTAGAAGTTGTTGACGAAAATTTTTCAGGAAATTCATTAAGTGACCTGCTGTAGCTCTGCAGTATCTGACAGCATGTTTGCCTTCACTGGAGCCTTCTCAAAAAACAGACAGGAACACCTCTCTCTCTCTCTCTCTCTCCACTTCTTGTCACTCTGGGGTAAAACTTCGACTTTATATAGGTTCAGATGACAGATAACCCAACCACATGTTACACTGTTAACTGGAAAAAAAATACACAACAACCTCTTCATCATATCTAATCTTGTAATAACTAAACTGCCTAGCACTGGTGCTAGGCCCAGGAGTTGGATGGACTGTCAGAAACTCTCTCAAAGCAGAAAACAGATCCGTAAGCGACTCAGGATCAGATGTTGGACAGCAACTCTTGACTTCACAGTATGACTCATTTAGAATGTCTGAATACAAACAAGATTATAATAGGACTAGTAAGGCCCACTAGTAATTTTTAAAGAACAATTTCCTAGCCTAAACCAAAAGGAAATTAAGAAGTTCCTTAACGTGAGCTTTATGTAATTCTATAATCACTCTCACAAATTTACTGTGTCCTGACAGCAGCATAACTGACAACCTTTGGACACCTGCAAACTGGTTAGTCACTCATGTTTTCAAAACATCTCAATGACAGCCACACTCACCTCCCCTCGTGTCACTCAATGGCACTCTGACTCCCACAGTTCAGCTGTGTGGGGGCAGGAGGTATGGGATAGAAGTGTTTCTGAAACCTCAAACTCACTTGCCTGGGTAATCATGTAAGGTCAACTGCTTTCAGACATGAAGCTCATGGAAAATTGCAGGCCTTACTGAAAAACCTGTCCATATTTGTTGTCGTCGTCTTGAGAGATAAGACATGCAGGTTTAACCTAGAGACTTTATCTAAGAAACAAGGTGGACAGAAAGTCATGATGCTGAGTGGGAAAGCCATATCATTCATCAGGGAACCTGATCCAAAATGTTAAACAAAATGAAAAACAAACAAACAAGAAACAACTTCCATCCCAATGGCAAAAAGAAACTTGGAACTATGAAAATGAAGTATTTTTTTCAACAGCCCAAATCTAAAAAGCACCAGTAAGAAGCATTTTACTGCTGCTTTTGTCCTTGAAAATTCTATCTAACACCCTTCACTTTTTACATGACCCTTATACAAAACTGCCAGTATACCATATAAATAGGCACAGCTGCAGCCTTTCCTTATGGTATCTCTTTCAATTCTTAATTAACTTATTTACCCAACAGTAACAACATACAAGGAACAAGCTTCAGTGATTATAAAACAATTTTCTGAAATTAAAATCCCAAATGGATCATTTATTTCTTCCTATGTCCTACACGTTTTAACTCCTTGTTTCAGCACTTGCAGACACCGGTGTGGGTCAAACAATTGGGAGCAACTGCAATTTCACATAGCAAAGAGCAACACATAGCCTTAAAATACACTTACTAAATAGCACAGAAATCAGATTCTTTTTCCAGCAAAAGGTGGTATAAGCTGAATTAAGCTGGTGCAGCTCCTCCAAAGAGCAGACAATTGGTTCCTATGAAAAGCTGTGCAAAATGAGAGAGCTGGACCAGCAACCACTGAAGCAGAAACACAGCCTGAAGTGCATGGCTGGAAGGCAAATAGGCAGGGCATGGCATCCTCACATAACAAGACCTACTTGGCAGTGACTTCAGAGACACATGGACACATGGTACTCAGGACTATGGACAGTTGGGGAGCGGTTCAGAAACGATGCACGATCATCCTCCTGAGCCTTCCCAAACCCCACGCTCATTTCTGGACTCCTTTGCTCAAGACCCTCACCTTTCCAGTGGAACAGAAGCCAGCTTGCAACATTTAAATTCAGATTCAACATAGTGAAAACTAAACAAAGAGCAAAAGCCCCAACACACACCCAACATGAAACAGCACACGGTGCTTTAAACCCAAGACGAACCATGTATTTTAAGGCGATCACACAGAGCATTCAGAACACCCAAGTTCTCAAGGAAAAAACAAGAAACCGAACTCCCAACATATAAAATCCTATCAGGAAGAGCTGTCACACTCTGCTCCAACAAAACCCGACGGCGGTTCACAGCCCTCCAGCCAGCCCCAGGCAGGTGCTCTCCGCCTTACACACCAGCGTTAGCCTTCCTCGGTTCACGGTGCCGCTCCCCTGGGGAACCCGCGGAGCAGCTTTTCGGATATTCCCATTTTTGAAAAACAGCCTCAAAGAATTCAGATGGAAAACAAAACAATGAAGAGGGAAAAAAAAAGAAAAAAAGAAAAAAAGAAAAAAAAAAAAGGAGAATCAGCGAATTAAAAATGCCCACACCCCCCCCCACCCCCCAAGGCCCGGCTGCGGCCCCTCCACCCCCGCCTCACCGCGCCCGCTGGAGGCCGGCTGGAAGCACCGATGGGCTGCGGCCCCGCCCCGTGCGGCCGAGGGGCGGGCAGCCCCGCGGGGCCGCCTGTGCCGAAAGGCGCGGTGCAGGGGGGCGGTGGCTTTTACCCGGCAGCCCTGCCGTGAGGGCCGGGCGGCGCCCTGCCCTGTGCTGCGCCTTGTGGCTGAGGTTGTGTCGGTGGAGGGTAGCACCACTGGTGTCTGTCTGAAGCTGAGCCCTGGAACGTAAACGCGACTTAAGAGTCAGATTTTGTGCTTTTTTTTTTTTTTTTTTTTTTTTTTTTTTTTGCCATCATTAAAATTTCATTTCCTTGCTATTTCATTCATTAACAAAATGAAGTGTTTTTTTTGTCCAGAAGGAAGTTTTCCTTTGCCAGATCCTTGAAGCAATCCTTTAGCTGTAATCTGTCCCTGTTTGAATAAAACGGTGTAATTTATATTCTGGTTACGCATTAAGGAACACTTTTCCTTCATGTCCCGAGGGACTCTGTGGGAAAAACAGAAGGGAATTTTAATGGCCTGAGCAAGTGACGCAGGCTTAAATCTTTTACAGAGTTATAAGCAGTTTGCACCAGCACAGGGCTAGGACAAACTTGCAGGGCTTTTTTCTTTTTTTTTTTTTTTTCTTCCTAGAAGAGTGGAAGATATTAAAATGTTTGGAGATAAACCTTTTAAATAGCAGTGTGCCCAGCACTAAGCTGGGAGGCCACAGAAAGCTATGAGTAGATTTGTCTAAGGAAGTACGTGTTTAAAGATCAGCTAGGAACAGCAAGGTCAAAAGCTTGGCTTAATCTAGCTACATGTGTCCTTGTTCATTGCAGGGGAGCTGGACTAGGTGGCCTTTAAAGGTTCCTTCCAGCTCAAATGATTATACAAAGGCCTGAAGCTGGCACTTGTCACTTGTGCAGCACTGTGTGCTGCTCCTCAGAAAAAAATTCATCTTGGAGGAAAAAAAAAAAAAAAGAAAAAGAAAAAGAAAAAAAAAAGGGATGTCACCACTGGGCACCTTTATGCTGAGCTCAGTTAGTCCATGCTCCAGTTTGCCTCCAAGGTGAAGTGTAACATGCTGCTGGAAAGGGGACACACAGCAGGAAGCAGTGTTGCCTGCATTGCACTGGGCTCACAGTGTCAGGGCTCTGCTCCTGGACCTGTCCCACCTGCAGCAGCCACAGTCTTCGCTTCCCCGCCAGCTCCAGACACTTCCTCCTTGGCTCAGACACTCAGTGTCAGTGTAGCTTCATGCTCCATCCAAACCTACATTTGCCTCTTTCCACGCACTCTATATTGTGTTAATATCTTGGGATTTAACAGATGGTTTCTGTGTGCAGCCCACCGTGAAAGTTAGTGTTGATCTGTCTGCTGACTCACTGGAGAAGAGAGGTGAAACACACATAGTACAAAAGCTGCAAATCAAGCCTCATGCAATGAGTCCCTCTCAACTGGCTCTCTGCTCTCCTCTCACAGCATTCACTCACTACATGGGCGCAATACCCAGAGAATATGCCTCTCTCTGATGCTACAAAGGTTCAGAAAGCTTGTCCAGGTGAGAACTTTCCCAAAATGCCTTGGAAAACCATGCCAGAAACTAGAGAAGGTCCAAGTTTGAGTGGGTGCTTAAAGTGTTGCTTGCAGAAGCAGTGCCTTGGAACATGCCTGTATCTGTGGGGACAAGGGAAAGTTCCAGGAGCTCAGATCAGAGCAGCCTGTGTCTGATTCTCTTCATCCAGACTTTCTGCTTGTGGCACTTTGCTGTGTGCCAGTAGCAAGCCTCCACTATTACAGGATATTTAAGATATTTCCTGCTTTTAGGGAGCGCTGTGAGCTTTCCCATAGCGCAAACCACACCTTCCTCTGTTTCTCCAAGTGACAGCCTCTCCAAGCTGCAGGCCTGACCTAGGACAACCTCACTCTGCTTGTACTCACACAAGACTGCAGAGCAATCACAACAAAAGCTTACACTGAAAGCTACACTAAGCAAATATGAAGATATTTTGTTTATCTCTGCTTAAACTAGTAAATCATCAGCAGAAGAAAACGCACATTTTTGCTCCCATCTGCAGGTGAGTGACAGGAGCATAAAGAACCTCAACAATTCAAAAGGAGTGCTAAAAATATTTGCTGAGACAAAGGCAAACATATCCAGCTGAGTAAAAGTGGGAAACTCAGTAGGGGGCTGACAAGAGCGTCAGTCTTCGGGTTTTCAAGTCCATTACTAACAATCAGGAACAATTTCCTCATTTGTTATAGCTTGCTACTACTGCTCAGGTTGTGTATAGTCTGGCACAAAGGTAAAAGCAGTGCCCATGCAGCTGTGATCTCCACAAGAGTGTCCTGTCTGGGACACCAGTCTGGGGGGATGCTGTAATTTAGAGCACAGCTCCAGGAACTTACCAGCACTTCTCTTTGAGTGGTTAATTCTGCTTCTCTTTTCTTGCTCAGTGAACTGGTCTCCACTTTGAATCGAGTTCTTGTCATGTCGCCTCTGCATCTCCTCTCTAGTGTCTTCCCAGCTGGATCTCTCTCCCCTGCTTCTTGTCCTGGGACAGAAAATGAGTCCTCAGAGACTGAGTTTGTCTTTACAAATCAACAAACTGTGAAAGGATCTGACTTCCCGTTTCATTTCCGTTCAAGTTTTCAAAGTCACACAGGCTGTGTCTGCTTCTCTATTTCCAAGCCACAAGAAGAATCATCAAGCATAACTCAGCTATTTATAAATGTCGCGTTGTTACCTCACTGCATGCCTTCCAAGTTGTTCCAGTGCTGGAGATGGCAGGGTGATTTTCAGGCTGTGATGTACCTGAGTGATCTGTATCTTAGTAGTCCTCAGAGTTTGTCTCGGAGCTGCCTCTTCTTTAAGTCCTGTGTCATGTTTGATTACTAAAGATTTAACGTGTGGTCGATGTACTTCTGCAGAAACACAGTGACTGTGAAGGTGTGGTCCACATGAGCATCCTTTCTCTGTTAAAATATGGACAATGGATAAAAGCAAAATTTACACAGATATAATTAATCACTTCATGGATATCACATGGATACTAGTTGATGGTTTTTTTTTTTTTTTTTTTTTTTTTTTTTTAAAAAAGTCCTCTTGAGACAGTCTTTCCTATTCCCTCCTCACTTGAGGTTAATTGAGGCCGGTGGTTTCTCAACAGTCTGACTGCTAATTCTTAATTACACCGGAGGAAAGTATATCATGGTACCACAGCCTACAAGTTCACTGAATCCAGTCTCCCGCTCTGAAAATACCCACAAGTTCCTACTTCAGAGATGGAGGCAACTATTTGTCCTGACTATTGACTGTTTTTCCATATTACAGATGGATTAAAAATATTCCTGGAATGCGTATGGTTACTGACTCACATTTTCCCTTTCATGGGAATGGTGATTTCCCTGTTTACATTTTTTTGTTACATTACTTCTGTTAAATTGATTTTTAAAATTATATTTCTCCATTATCATAATTGTACCGAGAACGTTTGCTTAAAATACTAATGGAAATCTGGAACAATAGGGTAGGTAAATAACCCTTACTTATATTAATCCAATTATTGGCACCTCAGGAGCTGAAGGTGAAGGCTGTTCTCGTCTCAGCCCAACGTTGGGCCTCTGGACAGCAAGCCTGCAAAGTCTTCTTTTTCACCATTTGCTGTGGGGGAAGGAAAGGAAAAACAAAGAATTTTTCTCTTTTGGTGTTGTTCTCTTGTTGCCTTTGGATGCGCTCCGAAGGCCAAAGTGAACACCTAAAGGCAAAGTATTTGTAGATATATGGAGATGCTTATATGTACATATACAAGTTTGTTTGTTTGTTTGTTTGTTTTTGGCTGTGTTCAGCTTTCATTAGCAGCATAAGATAATTCTGAGAGGGGAAACACTGTGGGCTGGCTACAGGAACAGTGCATCTCTAAGGGGAGATTTGGAAAGAAAGCTGGTGGAAGAGAAGAACTGCAGATGCCCTTTTTTTTTTTTTGTTTACTTCATCAGCATTATTGTGTTTGTTGTTAGTTTCTAGGTTTTGTGTGTGTGTGTTGTGTGTTTCATAAACAAAGCAAAAAAATTGTTTGTTTTAAATGATGTGGCAAAAGCAAAATACATTTGTTGCATTAAATTCATTTTTATCTCCTGAAATTCCTCTGTCGTACCTCATAATTCTTTTCATGTGTCAGGTTGACTTGGACCGGGCAGAAACAATTGTGGATGGGTAGCAGTGCAACTCACCCTCTTTTTGTTGATTTCCACATTCTTTATTCCACGTACTATATTTCCCAACCATCTGGATAACTATTTATCAACTATTTATTCATGCTTTATCCACTCCGAGATTTATGCAGGGTCATGAGAAGAAGAGGAAGACAAGGGTAAAGTAGAAGGTGGCATCCTTGGCATGCTGGAGGCAGCGAAGGCCTGGGTGATACAGCCCACAAACTGAGAGTGGCTGTGCTTTGCTCAGCAGCCAGTGTTTGCATGCCTGCATGTTTGCACTCTTTATCACGCTCACAAGCTGACGAGGAAATTTCCTTTGTCCACCCCTACACTTCTGTGGCTGGTGTTATCAGCATGCCCCTCCTACCCGTGACATTCCCTTGTGGTTCTGTGAGACACACAAAATGAGGCCTACATCTGAGTTTGCCACAGCTCAGCGTGCTCCTTCCCCTTCTTGCAAACAGTAGGAGAGCTCTGTGTGTCCACAGGCTGGAGAGGATGGGGGCAGGAGAGGGGCTGTCCTTTATGGGTACACAAGATGTGACTTGATGGACAGAAGATTTTCCTTTTCCTTCTGAAGACTGGCAGTGCGACCAGCATCTACACAAGCTGCATTCTGGACAGATCAGTGTTCTGGGAGTATCAAGCAGGCTGTTGGTGCAGAGCTGCCTCTTGCTGCCTGGGCCTGGGTGATTGAAATCCACGTCCATGGGAAAAGGAATCCCCATGACAAGCTCTCTGACAGGCCTTGCTTTGGGACAGCTGTTTGTAAACAAGGTGCTTCCTACTTGTAATGAGAACCCATAGGATGGCCTCTTGCTCTTTGGAAGTCAACCTGCAAAGACCCAGAATTCTGTTTCTCCATTGGGCTGCAACACACGCCTATCTGCCAGAAGATACAAGGCACAGCTATTTTGGGCTGTATTTTTTTTTTTTTTCCTAGTGTCACTGCTTGCTTTTGCAAATAAAGATTTATGTTTCACTGTGGTAGGTGCTTAGTAGCAAATCAAAGTAAGTATTTTGAGACCTGGCTGCTGTAAGTGATTTGCTGGGACTACAGAACCAAATCTCAGAGCACCTGGATTTCCTTTCTGAGGTAGAAAGAGCAAGCCACTTTCTGTCACCTCTGCTAGAAACTGCCATCAATAATGGTTTGTTTTATACTAAAATGGGAAGAAAAAAAAAAAAGGATCATTAAGGGAAATAAAAGAATTTGTTTTCTTTTCAGAGGAAGGAGTCACTTCAACCCAAAACATAAAATGCCATCAGTGAAAAAGAATGAACTTCTTTCAGAGGGAGAGCTAGCAACCAACAGGAAAATGAAACAGTTGTAAAAACCTAGGTCACAGAGAGAAGGCAGCAGCCTGTACACAAAGGAGCAACAGTGCTGATGGAAAAGTCAGGGAGAGAGAAGGGCCTGAGCATGTACACGCTCCAGCAAGCAGCTTCTTGACCCAAGTGACTTTTACTAGAAACAGTAACCAAAGATGTTCCTTTCTGAAAGTCTCTTTGTGCAGCAGAGAGTTTGCTTATTCTGAGTGGCAAAGATAAACATCCTGGCTCTATTTGCCATTTTCTTTCCCCATCTCCTAACGGAGTCGCCACCCACGGTGGGACATGGAGCAAGAGTTTAGCGGATGATGTTCTGCTTGCCAACATCACACGCATCTTCAGCAAATCCTTTTACTGCCTGTTAAAAACAGGGGAAAGGAAATAAAAAGCTTTCTCCAACTGTAAAGTGAAGCTTGAAGATTAACACTGAGAAATACTGAAAATACCATGGTGACAGAGGGCCTTCATCTGAGCATACAGCACCTGCTGTGCTGACGAGCAGAGCTCTCATCTCCCTTTGCAGTCAGGGGAGATAAAAACAGAATCCTCCTACTTGCAAGGGATGTGCAGCATCTTTCTCACAGGTCACTGAAAGGATTTAATGGTTACTTTTTGCACAGTTTTTAATAGATCTCACCGTTTTTGACATTCTGGTATTTGGACTGCAAGTACCAGGATTTCTATTTTTCTGGCAAGTAAACACTATCCATTTTATTTAAAAAATAGCCAATGTTGAGAATGCAATATGAAATTCCTGGCTGTGTCTGTGTGGCTTCTTCTCAAGTACGCACACCTGGACACATTTCCTTGGACCCATCTTCCAACACAGAATTCTGTCTCAAAGGAATTTAGTTCTGGAGATGTATATGACTTCTGGCGATCGTGTGCTCCAACATGTCAGACATACAGAGAGAACACAGAGCAGCTTGTGCAGCACAGGCACCAAAGAATAGATCCATCCTCAGCACAGTGGGCTGCAGTCATATCTAGAAGTTACAGAGTCAGGGAGCTGCTGCTTCCTTTTAGCTGCTTGCAGCCATTTTACAGAAGGAAGGCATGGATTTTGAGTAGCAATAGAAGAACAAACCAGAAGTCTTCCTCCTAAGCTCTGGAGAAGAACTGTGTCTTGCAGTCTTCCTTTAATTCCTCAAAATCATTTTTAGATTAATTCATACCCTCTGAGCAATCTGGACTTATGTTACATTGAATAATGCTGTTTTCTGGAGCACTTCAATTTGATGGTTTTCAGATACTAAAAAGCTGCTACCAAATTTTCATGGGGAGTTTGACATTTAATATGATTATCCACTATATAATCAAATAATTGGATACTTATGTAACAGATTTTGTTTAAAAAATGGTATCTATATATGTTAATAAACTTGCTTTAGCAATGAGGGCATAAATGCATGACAAATTTTCTGGGAGGAGAAATGAAAGGGAGACTGTCTAACCTTCTATTTTTCTGAAGAAAGGAATCTGCTGTACCAGAGACAGCAGGAAACCAATGAGGAACAGAATGTACAGCCACTGCTGTTAGCAATAATGTGCAGCTCTGAGATGTTAAAAGCCTACTTCCTAGGCTCTTTTCTGCTAACATGTGTCTCATTCTTTCTAAAATACCTCACCTTCAGAACATCAGGATGTATTGCCTCTTTCTTCATCTATCTATTGTAAACTATTCTGGAGTGTCTTGGTGTCCTGGAACATTCCTCTACAGGGTCACACAGGCATAGTTTTGCTGGATTCATTCTTCCTCTCCTCTCCTCTCCTCTCCTCTCCTCTCCTCTCCTCTCCTCTCCTCTCCT